GGGGGGGGAGGGGAGGAAATATAGTACAATACTACGTTAAACATATAAACAACTAAAAAAATTAAGGGAAAGCAGCATTTTTCTTCTGCACAGTAAAGTTTCAAAGCTGCAGTAAGTCAATTTTCAGTTGTAAACTTCTGAAACAACAACCATAACGTTTTGTTCAGAGTTGCGAACATTTCAGAGTTACAACCTCCATTCCCGAGATGTTCCTAACTTGGAGGTTCTACTGTACTCAGCTCCTCTGAAAATCTAACACTTGGGTGACTCAAAGTGGGCACCCAATAACTGAGGCACCCCAAATTAAGGGACATGAATGAAAATCTGGGGTTTGTCTACTTCAGTTTTTAAACTGGGAATAGTATTTACCTGCTTCACTGGGGTGTTGTGAAGATTAATTTGTTAGTATCTGCAGAGTGCTCTGAAGATTGAGACCCTGATTCAGAAAGGTACTTAAACAAGTAAATAGTCCCATTAACTTTAATACATGCTTAAAGTCAGGCGCATGCTTAAGTAGTCTGTTGAAATGAGACATACATGTGCCATATACTCAGGGCTGGCTCTAACTTTTTTGCCACCCCAGGCAAAAAAGAAGAGCACCGCCCCGCCATAACACCTCCCACCCCAGCGCCGCGCCGCCAACCCCCCCCTCCCCTCGAGCGCCGCGCCGGGCAGCCCAAACCCAATCCCCCTCCCAGCGCCACGCCGGGCTGGGCCACCCAAATCCCCGGAGTGCCGGGCCGCTCAAACCACCGCCCCAGCGCTGTGCCGGGCCACCGAATCCCCGCCCACCCCGGAGCACCGGCGCCCCCCCCACGCACCTCACCGCGCTGGGCCGCCCAAACCGCCGAGCGCCGCGCCGGGCCGCCACGCCTCGCCGGGCCAGGCCAGCCAAATCCCCCGAGTGCGGCATCGGGCCGCCCAGTGCTGCACCGCCGAAGCCCCCGCCCCCGCGCTGCCCGGCCGAAACAAACAAAAAACAACCTCGAGCACCCCCCACCACCCCAACATTGGCTGCCCCTTCTGAGGTCCCACCCCAAGCATGTGCTTGGTCAGCTGGTGCCTAGAGCCGGCCCTGCATATACCATATAAGTACTACGTATACTTTTGAAAGGAAATTCACCCAACATAAATTATATTCTTTTAAAAATCACGTTTTCAAAGGTGTTATGACGGGTTGGATCACAAAAACCCCCTTGGGAGCTGCCACCTGATGTGCAAAGACTACCCCTGCTCCTGTTTTCCCTGCCAGCTCAGGACTCCAGCACCCTGTCTTGTTGAGCCAGACACTCCAGTCTGCTGCAACACAGACCCAGGGTCTGAATCACTTGTCCCAAAGCTGCAAGTTTACCTGAAAACAGCTTACAGAAGTGTGTTTGTCTCTAGCACTCAGATGCCCAACTCCCAATGGAGTCTAAACCCAGTTAAATCCGTTTTACCCTGCATACAGCTTATGCAGGGCAAACTCATAAATTGTTCACCCTCTATAACACTGATAGAGAGATATGCACAGTTGTTTGCTCCCCCAGGTATTAATACATACTCTGAGTAAATTACTAAATAAAAAGTGATTTTATTAAATACAGACAGTAGGATCTAAATGGTTCCAAGTAGTAACAGACAGAACAAAGTAAGTCACCAAGCAAAACAAAATAAAATGCGCAAATCTATGTCTAATCAAACTAGATACAGGTAAGTTCCTCACCAGTTCCAGAAGCTTTTACAGGCTGATCTCCTTTTAGCCTGGGTCCAGCAATCACTCACACGCCCTGTAGTTACTGTCGTTTGTTTCAGTTTCCTTCAAGTATCCTGGGGGGATGGAGACGCTCCTTCTTTAGCCAGCTGAAGACAAAATGGAGGGGTCTCCCACGGGTTTAAATAGACTCTCTCTTGTGGGTGGAGACCCCCCTCCTCCCTCCTATGCAAAGTCCAGCTCCAAGATGGAGTTCTGGAGTCACCTGGGCAAGTCACATGTCCCTGCATGACTCAGCCTTTACAGGTCGAAGCCATTGTCCACATGGTATCTTGCATGTCTCCGGGAGGACTTCTTATGTGGATTGAAGCATTCCAAGATGCATTGTTCCCCAAGTGTTTCCTGATCAGGTACTTAACCTGGCGAATTCCTTCCTAAAGAAGCTGACTAAATGCCTCACAAAGCTTACTTAGAAACCAAGCCAGCATACAGCCCATATTCTTAACCTCAAGTAGAAAATGATATACATGTACAAATAGGATGAATAGATATAGTAGATCATAACCTTTACGGAGATATATTACATGGCACAGGCAGCACAAAACATATTCCAGTTATGTCATACATACATTTATAAGCACACACACCCCCATAAAGCCTTATGGGGTACACTGTCACAGGTGTCTTAGGCAGGCTTTCATTTGTGTGCACGCATCTTAGCCTGCACAAATCACATGCGTATGCCGTTTTTGTGCATAAATGAGTGATAGAGCATAGATAGATAGAGCACTCTGACCCCCTCACGGCTTCTTTGAGGGCATCCCACTTAAGTTGCAGGCCACCAGCTGTCACCCTTCTCAGGGCAGAATCCTGTGATTGACTCCCTCCAGACCAAGGCCTTAGGCTGCAGACTCCTGCAATTCACTGGGACCCCATCAGCAGGTCAGACTTCAGTTCACCACCCATAGTTCTGTTCTCTCAGGAAGAATGTGTCAGGAATCAGGAGCCTGCAGCATAGCTAGTCTCCAGGCAGCCTCATCAGTACAGCAGGCCTGCAGCAGGCTGCCTGATTAGCAACACAACCTGATTGGCTGCAGGAGCCAGCAGGCTGGCTCTTAAGCCAACAGCTGCAACAACTTGCTGATTTCTCCGTGCTCATGCCCACCACTGTGCCTGCTCCTGCATTACCTGCTTTCCGCTGCTACAGCCTTTCCTTTGTCCTGCTCCTGCCTAGAACCTCTTCTTGCCTGATACCCTGCTCGCACCAGTCCCTTCCCTCCGGTTTGATCCTTGCCTCTGTCTCCTGACAATGGACTCCGGCTCAACCCTTGACTCTGGTACCCAGTTTTCGGCCTTCCAGTTGGATCCTTGACTTTGGCTCCTGACAACTGACTAAAGTGGTGACCCCCGGCACTAGACCTGCTGCCTGCTCCAGCCACGAGACTAGACCACCCTCATCCTGGTCACCTGACAAAATGACAGGGTTTAACTAGTGACCATCTCTCATAAAGCAAACTACTGTTTATTCAGAATAAAAACATTCCAGAGAAACATAGCTTACAATAATAGACAGTTTATGTGTCTGCCTAACTTACCAGGTGGTCAGCAATCTTCCACATGGTGATCCTGGCAGATTTAAAGTACTTCAGGTCCTCTGCCGGGTCAGCTCTCTTGGTCACAGTCTCAGGCCTGTCCGTTTTCAAATGGATAATGCATCAAACAATAGCTTCTGACCTGGGGAGGGAGAAGACAGTTTCAAACCCTTTGTCTCCTAAGGCTTTTGAACCAGGTCAAACCAGCCTGCATGCATTTCCCCAGGGGGATGAAACTTCAAAGGACTTGTTACATGCATTGGTTCACCACTTTGCATTCATTATCCCTGTCACAGATGTGGTTGGGCTGCCCCTGCTGACAGCTCACCAGACTGATGTGAGGGGACCCAGCTCTAGGCACATTCTTGGAGAGCAGACCCTGTAGCTAGTATCCCATCCTGAGAGCTTAGACCATATGGTTCCCTGCCTAGCCCCAGAATCAGAGCTGACTCCTCAGACTCCTTTGTAACTTAAACAGACCTTCTCCCAGAAAACCACCGAAGGTGTGAGCTTTCTGGTTTATCTCATCAAGGGGCCATGTGGTAGGTTTAGCATATACCGATACCTTGCACAGAAGTCTAACACATTATTGCTCTTTACTTGATCACACAAGAAATACAAAGATCCATACAAAGATAATAAATTCTACACGCATTTCCCTGCCTCAGTTTCCTCACCACTCCAGGGCATTCTTTGGGCTGGGGTCAGAGTCCTGTGTGGGATCCAGGATCTTTCCCCTACAGCTGTCTGACTTCTGAAACATAAAGCTCTCTCCCTATATCAGAGGAAGCAAGCTGACCTTAATCAGTCCATCTCTTCCCATCCCCTTCCTCTATCCTGCCCAAAACTTCTGATGTGTCTCTCTGTGAGTCCTTTTATAACCTTTTGCTTTCGTCAGTTGTCTCTTTTTCCTATTTTAGTAACTGCTCTCCACTTCCTCCTACCTTCTGGCAGGAGGAAAATGTAAATTCTTCCACCTCAAGCAAACCAATGGTAATTTGTCTTGAATAGGCAGTCGTTCAGTTCTAATGACTCACCATAGTCCCTGGTTTGGCAGAGATGTGAAAGGTCTGCTAGCTTATCATGATACATAAACAGAGGAACATTCATGATACAATTTCATAGTAACAACTTCATAATACCAACCAAGCTCCATAAGTTGCACAGACAAATCCCCCAAATCATCACAATCCTCCAATGCCTTTAATTCCTGAAGGAAGCATTCCTTACCTTACCCGTTTAGCCAGGAATACAATCACTAGCAAACCCATAAAGATACTGAGACACCCTATACCCCATGTGACACTCTATATCCCGTGTTCACCACTTTTATATGGTTATGATATATTTTGTACAAAGTATGCTTTCTGAGGTATAATTTGAAAACTCACAATCTGGTGAGCATCATTGTCCTATTAAGATGCGTGTAACTTCGTTGCATGTAAAATTATGAGATTTTGCTATACGATTGTTACTGAAATATGTTGTAGTTCTGGGTAATGCCCACAAACTAGTTTTTCCAAGACAAAGACACACTGGCAACTCCAGACAGGTATCAACAAAGTCAAGTAGGCTATCACTTACTTAAACAGCCATTCTTCAGCAATGGGGAAATGTAAGCAAGAAATTTACATTTCCTCCTAGATACAGTGTGAATCTCATGTACTTAGGGGACTGTTTATCTACACCCCAGCGGGGAGAGGGGGTAATCCTCAAAGAGAGGAAGTGAGGTTAAAAATAAAGGAAAGTGACTTCCATGGGACCCTCTCCTTTCCTCTCATGAATACCTGAAGAATACTGAACAAAGGGGAGGCTAAAAGGAAATCCAGCCTATGAACTGTGAGCTGAGAATTGCCTGCAGAATCTAGTGTAGTGAGAATGATGCTTGCTTCAAATCTTATTTAGCTTGGTAAAGTTTAGGAATTAACTTGCAGTTTTATCTTTTTATTTCTTTTTAAACCAATTCTGACTTTTAGGCCTTACCACTTATAATCACTTAAAATCTGTCTTTCTGTAGTTAAACTAATGTGTTTAATTGAAGTCTTTGGGAAACCTCCACTTGAGACAACAAGGCTGTCACATATTCATTACCCATTGTTGGAATGACAGACTAATTATGAGCTTGTATGGTTCAGAGAGCTACTGAATAGTACAAGAAGTACATTTCTGAGGTGCAAGTCTAGGACTGAGGGATATGTGGGTGTCACCCTCTATGTGATTCATGGTTGGCTGGGCATAGCATTCATGTACTCATTGACTTTGCATGCTGGTGGCTGTGAGTGACCAGAACCTGGAGGAGTTTGCTACTCACTAGCAAAGCAGTGTAAAAGGTATCCCAGGCTGGAGAGCAAAGCGGACTCAGCAGTTCAGGTTGCACCCTGGGGAATGTCACAGATACATAAAAAATTACAACATCAGTGTCATAGCATGTCATAGATGCAAAATCCATTTACATATTTTAGTGCAAGTGCATTATATCATTTGGATGCATACATGCACAAAAAATTTAACATCAGACAACTTTGTGCACACAAATAAAGGCCATTTTTTGAAACTCTAGCCCTATCTTTTGACAAGGGATGGAACACTTGAAGATTAACTGTTCTGTTAATTCCCTCTGAAGCACCTGGCATTAGCCACTGTTGGAAGACAAAATAATGGGCTAGATGGACCTTTGTTCTGACTCCAGTATGGCCATTCTTATGTTCTATATTCTGGCAATGTCTATTACACAAAGTGCCATATTACATACAGGGAAAAAATATTTTTACGTAGAATGAGTGGTTTATGGACCATTTCAATATGGAGCATAAGCCAAATTACAAAATAAAATGTGAGGAGTTTATATAATTCTATTGGCAGAACAAAATTAATACTTGCCATCATACCTGGCAATGATGCTGTTAAAACAATTAATGTTCTGGGGATTTTAGAATTGTCTCATGCATGCTTTTCAAACATTGGTCTTTGTGTTTCAAAGCAAATGCTGTGATTACTCACTGTAACTAACTGGAACATTCTAAAAATTTAAATAATTAAATGCTTTAAAAAAATGATCAAATATGGAGGCGTGGCAATGTCCATGCTGTAGGATGAGGTGCTCAGATAGAATGGTGATAAGCCTTGAATGAATACCTAGGTAGATCGGGGAAAAAGGTTCTTCAAAACAAAAATACACACTTTCCAGATTAACCGCTGCAACTTCCATTTCTTGTCACTGTTGTCTCACAACCCAGAATCTGAACTTCATGAATATCCTTTCAGCTACGCGGATCCCAATGACTAGAGAAAGGAAGGGTGGTCCAGTGGTTGGGCTCTAGTCTGGGGCTCCACGGACTCTGGTTCAATTTCCTGTCCCAGCACAGACTCTATGACCTTGGGCAAATCACTGACCCTCTCTATGTCTCAGTTCCCCATCTGCAAAATGGGGATAATAGCACTGCCCTACCTCTCAGGGTAGAAATACAGCAAAGACTGAGAAGGTGCTCAAATACTATGATGATATGGTCGTTCAAGTACCTAGACAGAGAGAGATAGTATTGTTGCATTGGGTACAGTGTACCTGGAGCAGCCCTGAACTCTAATGGAGGGAAAGATTTTTTCCAAAGAGGAACTGAAAAAGTGAGGGACTAAGGAGTGCAGAAAAAGGTGAGAGGAAAATGGGAAAATCTCCCCATCAAAATCTGTAAAGCAGCCACTTTTATCTCCTTTTAAATCTCTTCTTAAAACTTACTTCTGCTGTGATGTCTACGAACCACTACAGGCAAGTGGAGAGCTGTGACTTCCGTTTTTCTGCAATACTCTGTTCATTCTATTACCTCACTTTTCACTGTCTGACACGTAGATTCTGAGCTCCCTGAGGCAGGGACTGTCCTCTTTACTATTTGTATGTACTGTGCCTAGCACAATGAGCCTTGACTGGGGTTGCTAGACACTGTGGTAATATAAATAATAATCTCTATAAAAATTAAATGCATCCCACGTTTAACACATAAGCTGCCAAAGCCAGTCCAAAGTTCATACATGTATATCAAGACAATCCTCCAGATATCATATAAATGCTGTGTAACCTTGACACTCTGTCAAACATATCTGATGATATGCAGCTAATAGGAACTGTGGTGAACCTTTTACATCTGGCAGACTGATCACTGCTGTATCCCTAGTTTCTGGGAGCTCCTTAAATCAAGGTCCTGAGACTTAATGGTGATACATAACTATGAGCTTTATTGATCATGGGTAAAATTTTCAAAATTACTTAGGTACATAAGCTCCTAAACCCCATTGACTGTCAATGGGACTTAGGCCCCTAAGTTACTTCTGAAAATGGGACTTGGACACTTTTGAACATTTTACCCTATATCTGCACTCTGAACCTTATTTGTATATTGATAAACTCTGCCACTGCTACTAGGACCATGTAGCTTAATTAAATGCATTGAAGGCACTTTCTAAAACAGTTGCTGCTAATAAGGATAAAATCCTGGGGAAACAAACCAAACAGTGGCTTTGACAAAGCTCCTTCCCCCCGCCCCCTTCTCCCAAATTGAAGGCATCCATAGGAATCTTCCAAGAAATAACCATCTCTATACCTTCCATATGGAACACAAAGCAGTCTTACTTAATATTTACAATGTTTCACAGTAACACATTTTTCCACCACCAAGTTATTGGTGTTGTTTCCAAAGAGATTTCTAACGATGCTCTCATGTATTTCCATAAATAAAGTGTGCAATTATTCTTCTTTTTTATTATGGTGATTTAATATTCAATAGAAGCCTGGAGCATATTTTGAAATCACATGATATAATAAAACTGGTATTTTGCTTGGGTTTTTTAATTCTTAGATCTGACAGAGAACCCTATTGTTGCATCTTGTTTAAAATGAAAAAGTGACTAAATCTCTCGAAGCCCAAAAGAGAATATAATTTATTACAGAGGCTTCTAAATGTCTTCATAAGCCTTGTGTATAATCTGGAAAACTCCCTCAGTAGAACAGCCCCTAATTGTCTACCCACTCAGGCTAATGGTCTTATTTTTCCTTCAGTTGACTACTGCGGGTCAAAAGAGTTGGTTTTATGGCTAGTTATTCTTGGAATTCATTTACCTCCAGCTGTTCCACTACTGTATGTCAAATATTTC